AAAGGGGTTGATATGTGCGAGTTAATGACGCGCCTTATCAACACATTGTGTTGGAGCTCACTGCTTGTTATCAGTTCCTCTCACAAATCAATATTTTGCATGATTATAAGCTTATCTCCTTGCAATGATCAAATGTCCTATGTATTTTAACATTTACTTTTTAAGAACTTTTTTGAAGCGAAATAATTTACTTACCTTCTCGTGAAATTCCTCTCATAGAATTTTAATTTTCGTCTATAAGGTTGCTGGAATACTACAAATAAAATTCGATGTGAACCTGAAAAATTATGAAATGTTTCATTCACAGACCAAATATTCACATAAAAACGTATGTACAAATCGACGGTCATACATACATCAATAATCCAAAAGTGCTATTTTTCCGTCGATGACAAAAATAGCTGATGGCATGACATTTAAAAATAAACGCCCATATGGACTGCATTTTGCATTTGGACCTATAAATTCTGGCTCATCTGAAAAAACACTTATGTGCATAGAGAAACTAATGGCACATACGTTGTTTTTAAACCGGGCCGGAATTTATAGGTCCAAATTGCAAAATGCAGTCCATATAATACTCTACATCGGCGACCGACAACGTCGCACAGTGGATCGAGTTAATTAGAGAAGTCGGACATGATGTTTGACCAAAACTATTCTTTTGATGTTTATTCCGAAAAATTGTAAAGTTCAAGGGCTATTTCTAGAAGAAAATTTCACGAGGAAACCAATGGAATCACTTTAAACCTCAAAATTTTGAATATGCGGAGTTAAAAGCGTTTAAAGTTTCCGAATTTTGTACGATCTTTATTATTGAGTCAATCCACTAAGCGTCGGCGCAAAATCGAAAAAACGTAACGGAATCGGATCCATTGACATGAAAGAGGAGATCTCTGTAAGATCCAAGACATTCTGCAACCTTCCGAGATCCCCCTTTTAACTTGAAAGTATGATATTTTTAAAGCCCTGCCTGTATATGAATATCGCCATAAATCATTAGGAGCGATCATTTTCCATAAATTTTGGTCCATTTACATTGCATAGCTGTAACAGATAAATACTCAGAAAAAATGTTTCTAAAAAATTTGGTAGGATGTAGCTTCCTTTCAGGGCACTTTTGAGAAGCGAATTGTAAGAGAATCGGACACGCTCCAGCAATCTGGCCATTTAATCTTGCAACGCCCTATGCAGAGGCAGATGAAAACATATTTACCTACATACTATACATCTGTCCATTGATAGAATCAAACATTGAATCAACTTCCAGCATAACCGCAAGACATGTTTACCAACCTTCATCTAGAAAATTCCCCGCGCCTAAGTAAGGGATAA